AGTGTCTGATACCAGCGTCTCACCAAACAGACTTGATTTACCTCATGCGATATAGGAAAATGTCACTCGAACCTTCCAGAGCATTCTGGAGGGTTCATATATTCAAGAGCTGTGCTGTATGAAACAGTGGCCACTAACCACATGGCATTCATTGGCAGCCACAAAGTTAAAGGATCTAAAACTAAGCAAATTAAATTGCTAAAATGACGGTGATCAGGAGCAGAGCTCAATAGCCAAGGGGCAGAGAGCAAACCTTCCCATCCTCCTGGAATGTTCTTTGGCAGTGGTTCTCAACACATGGGTCGCGACCCCTCTGGGGGTCGAATGACTTTGTCACAAGGGTCACATACTGGTTATTTACATTATGATTCATAACACCAGCAAAACTCCAGTTATGAAGTAGCAACAAAATTTATTTTATGGTTGGGGGTCACCACAACGTGAAGACCTATGTTAAGGGCCGCGGCGTTAGGAAGGTTGTATGGAACCACTGTTATATGGGATGGAGGTATTCCAGGGCACCAAGACGCTTCAATTCTTCCACTGACCCCCGGAGTCTTGAGGACTGAGTCCACTTGTCTCATCCTCTTCCCAGAGCTGTGGACCTCACAGCCACGGTCGGCTACCTGGATCTCCTCTACTGTAGGCCTCAGAGCTACTGAAAGGGCAGACAACACTGAGCTGCGTGCCAGGGACTCGACATTCACCACCACGCTGGAAAATGGGACATCCGGAGATTCCTGGCTTGCTTCAAATCACACAGCTGCCTGGTGGCATGGCAGGGATTTTAGGTTAGCCTTGTCTTTGCCAACTCAAGCAGGTTTTCTCCCTCAGCCCATTCTACCATGGGGCATGTAGCCAGATCATCGGTTTCTTCCTATAGGAAAGGTCCTGTAGAGTTACCAGTTCACCACAGGGCCCCCCTATCAACCAGGACCCCCAGACAGCTCGTTCTGACCCCTTCACGGCTACCAACAAAGCCTGCAGTGGTAAAGAACTCCACAGAGGCCCTGTGGTAAACGTGCTGCCGTGTTGGAAGGCAAAAGGGCAGCATTGGGTCTGGCCTTGTGACGGGCTTTCCTGAGTGTCTGGCGATGCTAGCTGCAGGCTCCCCTCAGATCAAAACCCTTCAGCGAACCTCAGGCGCAACCTCCCTCAGGCCCACAGAGGAAGGGAGCCTCTTTCAAGGTGGGGTCAGGAACTCAGGCAGCCTTGATGCTGAAGCTTCCCAGAGGATGCCCGCAGATTTGGGGTCACCTGGGGTCTTGTGGCCTGAAGTGTACTACTGTGTGTGTGTGTGTGTGTGTGTGTGTGTGTGTGTGTGTGTGTGTGTGTGTAGGAGAAAAGCATCTGGGGTCTGTTGCGTGACCACCGGCTTGCTTTGTATTGGAACTGTGTACAGGTGTGAGGCCGCTCCCCTCTCATCTCAGTGTGTCTGAGTCTGTGTGCACAGACACACGCTCTTACGTGAGGCTCCTGTGGTGTGGAGAGAAAGGATTAAGGAAGGAGGACATGTGAGTTAAGAAGAAGGTTTCTAAGCCGGGAGTGGTGCACATGCCTTTAATCCCAGCCCTGAGGAGGGAGAGGCCGGGGAGTCTCTATGAGCTGGTTCACTCTTCCCATCATGTAGCTTCTGGGGTATCCAAGTCATGTTGGTAGTCTCACTGGCTCTAGAAGGTTTCTAGACACAGCAAATGTTTACATTCTCATTAACTTTCCATTACACTATCACAGAGTATCCCAAAGACCTAGGAAGATATTTAAGGGTTAAGCTTGGAGTAAATTGACTCTATATTGAAACATAAATAACTCTTATCATGACAGGCTCAGACGATGGGCGAACACACGTGGGACAGTATTTACCATGCTTCCGTAATTGTTTTAGGTACAGGAACAGTGACCCCAGTCAGTACCTTCTTTCTTTGTCACCTTTACAGCCTGATGAGTTGTCCAAACAATGAATCCTGGGTTGATAAATCGGCCAGTGGCTCAAAGACAAAGCAAGTGGCTTCTGAGTATCCTGACCTTGTCCCAGGTTCCTTCGGGACTTCTTCTAGTAGACCGCACAAATCTCTTCCTTGTATATAATCTCGGAATCATGCATGGTATTTTCCTGTGTTAATGTCAGATTCATGATTCATATTATGTTTTATAAATCAGGGCTTTTACCCTAATAACGCTGTCAGCCAGTTTGTGTTTTGGTGGTGATTTTATTCTAATGGACTAATATGGCCGCCGCAATCGTGATATAAATAGACAAAAGCGCTTGGTTGATTTCTACAAAAATCAGGATACCAGCAAGAGCAAATATTTGATGGAGAGGTACTGCATCCACTTAGGCCACAAGCCAGGGTCTTTATAAGAGCATGACTTAGAGGCTCAATTCCAAATTTAAAACCTTCAGCTAAAGGCATTTCACCCTCCTCTCTGGATGAAGGGCTTGGACCCAGAGATCAGCACGGGGTGGAACTGGGTGGTACTTCCCTTCTGCCCGAGGCATCTCTGAAGCCCGAGGGCAGCCTGAAAGGAAGGGAGAGAAGCCCACTGTCTGGGGGGGGGGAGGTTCAAAGAGGTCAGGAGGGGAGGCAGTCTTCTGTTCCTTTTTCGTTGACTGTCATTTCCAAGGGCTGTTCTTTAACCCCACAACCCAGGAGACTGTCACCTGCCATGGGACACAGAAACACCAAGACCATTTGTCATTTGCAGCCTGTGGAAAGCACAGGCTGCTGCTTGGGTTGGTGGCCCAGTGTGGAGATAGGGCTTGTGTCCCAACAATAGGAACCGTATGAGGTCCTTATTGTCCATAAGACAGGCCGGGACCAGATGAGGCTTCCATGATACTTACTTGGGGTGGATCTCTTATCACTGGAGCAGCTACCCAGGAGAAAGGGAACTCACACTCAGTGGATCTGATCTGGTTTTTCTAGAACAATCTATTAGTTCTTTGGTGTTAACAGCCGAGTCAGACCTAGTTGGTAGCAATGCATTGATTTTTTTGGCACTGCCAGAATCAATCTGAGCAAAGCCATTCAGGGCTACGTAGAAAGCCAGCTGAAACCAGATGAGTAGGATGAGCTCTTTTCTTTAAGCTCCTGGACAATAAACAAAATGGCTCTGATGCTGTCTCCACTGAGGGAATTATGTATATAAGTATAACTCCTGCCTTTAGTTTCATCCCAACTCCCGACATCCCCCAACGGAGTTCCACTCTCATTGCTAATTACCTTCAGTAGGCATCCTACTCAGGCATACCCCCTGAGCCCCTGAGTAGGATATTCATGATGGCATCAGATAAGGAGACAGGACAGAGAGGCTCATGTACGCACTGTCAAAACTCTCTGTGGGATTATGGAACCCCTGACCTCTGACCCAGAGTTCAAAGGCAGATTGATTATTTCCTTGAATAAAATTGATCACTCAGGCTTGCATTACATGGAGATTTTGAGACATTCCTGACTAATGTTATTTGACCTCAGCTTACTCCCTCACCTCATTGATAGTCATAGACCTTTCTAGGTGGATCCATGGTGACCATTAAGAGGGTTTGGGCTTTTTTCCTTCAATGCTCCCTGTGGCAATACCTGGATTTATCTTGTAATATTTTTCACTACTCCCTGAACATTGGTCTACCCAGAGGGCCAGTAGATTGTAGTATTCATGTACTGGGGGGTGGGGGGAGTAGTTGAGTTACTTTTATGTAGCTGTGACCAAAACACTCATGAGACCGACTCACCAGAGGGAAGGGAAGAGGGGTCTTTGGGGCTCAAAGTTATGTGGTCCTATGTGCGTGGGTAGAATGTCATAGCGGCGGGGGCATGTGACAGAGGGGCTCCTTCACTTCACTGTGGACAGGAAGGGGGCAGGGAAGAGACCCAAGGACACCCCCCCCCCCATGACCTACCTCTTCTAGCTAGGGCTCATTTCCTCAAGTTTCTAGAACATCTTGAAATACCACTAGTCCCTAGGGATCAAGCTTCTATCAGTGAGCCCTGGGGAGGGGGAGGTATGGGGGGGCATTTTGTGTCCAAACCTTAACAAGCTGTGACAGGGCATTGCTAGAATCTGCACCCCCCCCCCCTTTGACTCTATCCTCAGTCTTGTCCCCAATGGGACGACGGGCTTGAACTGCGTGTTCTCTCAGATCTCTTCTTCCATGGTTTGTTGTTAGTGACATGCTCTGTTGATGCTTGCCCGGCACGCTTTCATCTTCTTCAGTTTTGTTCCGGCCCTGGTGCTCTGGAACAGTCTGATTTCCACAGAAACACCACCCTGTCAGATGATGAGTCAAAACGCCTAAAGTGCCATCAGGGTCAATACGGCGCCAGGTGAATGTGGCGGCCCTCCTGTGGACCCATTGGGGCTCAGCCGGTCTAGAGTCTTCATGCCCGAGGATGGCCTGGTGGTGCAAGGGTTAATGCCACCTGTCAGAATCCCGTGTGGATAGAACGGTGTCTCAGGGCAGTGACTTTTAAGCTTCTCATGCTGGAAGGCAGAACTTTTCTCCTTTGCAGCTTAGCTTTTACCGGGACTTTAAATGCAGCCAAGACATGAAATAAAGAGGAAGGGATGAAAAACTTGGAAGGTTTTTTATACTTTTTGTAAAAGAAAAAAAAATTCATTTCTTTTCTTTCTTTCTTTTTTTTTTTTAACCATTACCCAAATCTCCTCCCAACACACAGACCCTACAGTATCCCTATTAAATTATATAGAGCGAGTCCAGCCCTTGACTGTCAGCGGGGCCCATCAGTCCTAATTTATCGCCCCAGGAAACACAGTACAATTATGGTAATAAATAATAATAGGATTCAGAACATGACAACGTGAATGATGGAGCCTCTCAGAATTCATTTACATTGCTTTGTGTTGCAATCATCGTGCCTCTAATGTAATGCCAAGCAAATGAGCCCCTTTGAATATTGTGCAATCTATTGCAAGTCAACTGGCACAAAACTCACTCAATAAATCATGTTCAAACACATGCCTGTAATGACAGGTAAATCAACAATGAAGTAATTGCATTTAATGTATTGAAATACTGGACAAAAAAAAAAAACAGTGACCTCAAAGTGACTTTTTGTAAAAGGTATGATATAGTTGCAAAGGGAGCGAGCTCCTTCCCGAGGTACGCTTGGCTCAGATGCACACACCGTGGCTGAGGCGGCTGTCTACGTGCAAGCCTTGATTTCCTACCCTCGTCCTGCGGTGACCGTCGGAGCCGGCTGCCAGACACTTCAGAAAGGTGTTCGCCAGCCTGAATGTAAGGGTCGCAGAGAGTGGAAATTAGCCCCGGAGAGAGCAATGTTGCCCACTCAGAAAACTTTCAGAAGGGGCGGCAGGAGCAGTGGGTCCCGACTCAGAAGGGGTGTAACCCTGCCTTGCTCTGAGTCTCACTAGATCTAGTGAAGCCAAGCTCTTCCAGCTCTCAGGCCTTCATGAAATGAAGCATTTGGATTGCCGTGTCTGAAACTCACCACAGTTCTAGCATTCTCTGAAGCCACGATTCCAATTAGGGGCCTTTGCTCTTAAGCGGGAGGGGGGGCGGGGATAAAAAAAAAAAAAAACCTCGGCTCTTCTTGCCCCTGAGTGTTGAAGGCACTGGTTTGAATCAGCATGCATCTCTTCATCATCCTTTCTGTCTTGGAGGCCGAGTATGTGCTTCTAATTTCTGTGAAAGTCGGGCCTGCCCCTTTCTGGGCAATCAGACAAGTCCGAAAATAGGTCCCCGGGGGCTCTGTGGATGGATAGCAGACAGCGTGGAAATGACAACCTTCCCCGCATTCCTCATTCCTCCCACCCCAGCTCCCCTCTTCCCGGGGACCATGTCAAGGAGAGACGAAGCAGAGCCTCCCGCGAAGCCAAAGGCCACTTACGGAACTTCTCTGCTCTTGCAGAAAACTCATTCTTGGCGGAAGGCTGCTCCAGCCCAGGCCTCCCCGCCGAGTGCCTGTCCCTCCCCACTTCTGACCCCTCTCCAGGGGATCGCGTGGGTCCCGCAGGGTTGTCGTTTGGAGAGGTGGGGAGGCATGGAGAAAATCACGTCACACTCTGAGGAGGAAGACCTGGCCGAGTGCCAGCTCTGTGATTTACTTGACAGGTGGCTTTTGTAGATGTTCCTTCACTTCAGTGCTCCACTGCTCCGCCTGTAAAGTCACAACGACACTTGTGGTGGCTCCAGCCCGGTCTTTGTAGCGAGGATGACGGATGAGAAAAGGGATTTATTGGTCATAAAACACAATACAAAACTAATTTTTATGATGACTCGGAAGAAAAGAACACCCCGAGACAAGGGCTGAGCTCAAATAATGTTGCTTACCAAAAAGTTGTCTTGGTTATTTATCTAAATATTTTTTCTTGTCTGAACCTCCTACTGAAGGGGTGGGGTGACCAGAGGGGGAGCTGGGGGGGGGTGTCTGGTCTACATCATTCTGAACTTAGAAGTCCCTAGAGCAACCATAACCAGCATTTATTGGGTGTATTGATAAAGGATGTCTTTTCTATCCTTGAGTAAATTTTAATAAAACACTTCAAAGTAGTTACCACAAACACGTTTGACACCCACTGACCTCCCTTAGATTGCCCACTGCATTCTCTTTCCTTGCTGAAGAGGGTTTTTGTTGTTGTTTTTCAATCAGGACAAGGTTTCTTTACCAAAGGCCTCTATTGGAATGGCAGCAATGGCAAAGCCTTTAATTCCCACTAAGATGCCTTCCAAGGCCAAACTGGGCCACGGTTTTCCCAGACAATAACAATCCAGAAAAAGACAGCGAACTCATTTCCAAGAAGAAAGGAGTCCAGGGAGCTGGACAAATCCACAAGCGTTCACAGCAGAGGAGGAGGGAAGCCATGGTTGACAGACCCATGAAAGCCCTTGAGTAAATGCCAACGGGATTCTTTGCATCACGTGTCCTAGACCAGGCCACCCTCTTCTGGATATCGTTGCATCGCAGAACCACAAGGGCTAACTCAGAGATGGTCTGCGTCCCTCTTCCCACAGTAAGCCCTGCTGAATCCCTAGCTACCACTTGATCAGACTAGAAAGAGTTCGGCCAGCAAAACAAAGGCCTAGTGAGCAGAGCCGGTGGGTGGGAGGCAAAACTGAAGCCCCCTCCCCCGCCCCCCGTGGGAAGGGAGGCATCAGGAAGGTTCTAATTCTAGAAAGCTGTTACTGGTGTGGGGAGGTAAATTTGTTCCCCAAAGAAGGGAACACCAGGAATGTGGGGGAACCTGGATTCTTTAGCTGACCTTAAAGACCTAGAGACTTTTCATCCACATCAACCTTGGGTGTTCATCACGGTGCAGGATTTGCAGGCAAGACGGCATTGGGCAGCAAAAAACTCAGATACCCAATTCCCACTTCTGAGGTTCAAGGGTCCCTTCAGGAAAAAGCCACCAGTAAGCCAAACCTAGGGCCAGGAGGGAGACATCACCCTGTGGCCTAAGGCAACCTTGAACTGATGGGACAGTCTCTATGAGCTCCCTTCAACTGAATATATTGTAAATATATATTTACAGAAAGCAATGGATTTTAGGCTATCCATATAAGTGGCTTGTAGATGCCCCCTCCCAAACCCCCACAATTCAAATCATGGCTTTGCTCTCATTTCTTCCTGTAGCAATTGGCTCAGCCCTCACCCACCACATCCTCTCTTTCCTCTCAGGAACTCTGGGATAGCAAATAAACTCCTGCCTCTTGTCATTTTATTAGGCAGCTCCCGAGAGCCAAGGAGCCGCAGCCCTGGCTGTGACTGACTCTGGTGCAGGCGGCGTGATTAATGACTGAGGGTCAACAGATGTCTCCCTTCTCCCTGGATCCTCCAGTGCACCCAGAGCCAGCTGAAGCTGAAGGGACAGGAGAGCACTGGGGCCCCAAGGAACACAGGGACCAAGCACCAAGGGACCTGGGCAACTCCAGCTTTCTCTCCGCAACAGCAAGGGCTGGAATGCCACTCCTGCTCTCATTTTAAAGTGAGTAGGCAAAGGGGAAGCAGAAGGAGAAAAGTTTTAGTCCAGAACCTTCTAGACAACTTTTTTTTTTTTATTTAAAAGACAAAGTTATAGGAGGACAAGAGAATCACGCAAGCATAAAGACTGGACAGAGACTCTCCCTAGCTTCTTACTATACTACCATGGCTTCTGGGGGAGGAGCAAATAGGACCCATTATCTTACAGAAGCCAGGGCTTGGGCAGGTACCCAAGCAATCACCATAGGAATGGGCATTTTCCATAGCCAGGAACATTCAGTCTCTTTGCTTGTTTTCTGTTGTTGTAATTAGCTTTTCATCTGTGTGACTACAATACTCAATAGAAACAACCTTAAGGGAGGGATAATTTATTTAGTCCATGGTTTCTATGGTGATTAATACTCAGAGTCAACTTGAATGGATTTGGAAGACTCTAAGAGGTATGTAAACCTTTGGGCATGCCCTTGAGGGAATTTCCAAAAATATTTAATTCCGGAGGGAAGACTCCTTCTGAATGAGGGTGGCACCATGCCATGCCCTGGGGTCCCTAACTGAGCACCCAAGGATAATGGAAAAGACAACAACCAACGGCTCGGCACCAGCATTCCTGTCTGATTCTTGATGAGTTACAGTGTGGGCCCCACCCTGTGCGCCACCTCTGTGCTTGCTTTCCCACTGTGATGGACTTCATCCATTTAAGACTGTGAGCCAAAACAAGTCCTTCCTCCTCAAGAAGTTCCTGTCAGGCATTTTGTAACAGCAATCAGAAAAGTCACCACTATCACTTCAGAAGCTCCAGTCCACCCGAAGCGGGGGGAAAGCAGGTGTGTGTGTGGGGGGAGGGGGCGGACAGTCCATATCATGGTGGCAGCAGCATACATAGACCGTTCCTCACTGCCTGGTGGATGGCTCGTGGTGTGCACAACAGGGAAAGGCCAGAACTAAGATGCCCCAAGGACCCACCCCCTCGTGTCCTACTTCCTCTAGCTGCGTCCCACCTGCTAGAATTTCCGGACCCTCCACCACCTAGAGACCATGCATTCAGCTTGTGAGCCTGTGGGGAAAGTCTCTAGGCGAGTTACAGTTGAACCACTCTTTCAACCCAGCCTAGCATCCTATACTGAAAGGGACTGGGATTATGTTCTCTACTTGCCAGGTGACCTCAAGAATGATAGCCCAGGTGACAGTGTTGGACTGAATACCCAGGTTTATGCTGTGAAGCAAGGAAGGCAAGTTATAGTGTGGGCTTCACTATCCAAACTGCCTTTGTTATCCTCATTTGTGAAGTATAAATACCTGGGGAACAACCACTTTCCTAATTACTTTTTGTTTATTTCACCTGAAACTATCAATTATGAAGGAACCTTATATCCCATTGGGATCATGGGTCTGATTAGAATAACCTTTAAGAATAAAACCTAAATCATGAGCGCTTGACGTCAACCTCCTGAGTAGGATGCGGGCAGATCTTGCTCCTCCGGACACAGTCAGAACAGTCCTGTTCCAAACTCAGACACAGTAAAAGAGCCTGAGTGACAAGGGGACCATGTAAGTCACCAAATCCATGCTGTCATTTTACGTAGGTGGCAACTAAGAACTAGAGAGAGATGAAATGTTGTTGACTTAAGGGGTTCGCATGGCTATCACAGAGCGGCCCTTGAACCCAGGGCTCATGTCCCTAGACTACTGCTCATTGTGAAATCAAACATCTTCCCTGGTGGTTGAAAACTGCAAAGGTACGGGTGAGGTTAAAATCTCCAGCAGCAGATATTTTTTAAACTAATACAAGAGAAAAAAAAAACCCATAAATTTATTTAACTTAAAACCCACGATTTCTCAAGTTCTTCAATGGAAAATCAACCTTTCTTTTCCTCTTTCTTCCTCCCAAATTTCTTCTTTCTTTTCCTTCCCTCTTCTCTCCCCCTCCCACTTTGGCTAAAATGTATTTAAGTGCCAGAGGATGGGTGTTATTCCACAGAACTATGGGAATGGTGAAAGAGATAGGCCAGCAATGGCAGGGTGAACCCCTGGGCGTATGCGGAAAGCAGCCCTCTGGCCAGAGTTACTTTGCAAGCCTTGGACAAGTCATGTGACCCCTCTGGGTCACACAGCTGGGAGCTTGCACCCCACAGCTCAGCTATGATTTGAGACGAACACTCTTATGTTCCAGCTTGAGGCGAGGAAAGGAAAACCGTGGACCAGGATCTCGACTCAGTCGGGGTCGATGCTACCAGAAGTGTGGGCTTCAGTTGTCACCATTGCGAGGTAAAGCCTTTCTCATGTCAACTTAACTTATTTCATTCAAATAAATTATTCTTTTATTTATTCTTTCTCTCTCCTATTTATTTAAATGAGCATTTCTCAAAAAGTCTTTGCAGGAGGAAGTAAACAAAACCTCTGGCTCTCTCGTGAAGTCCTTCTCCTCTCTTGTGCCCCGTGCCGAAATAACCTACCGGTACCAAGCACACAGGAGATTTCTCTTGGCTTTTCTGGGGCTCAATTAAGACCCTTCCCTTTCAAACTAATGCCTGAATTTTACATTTTGTATCAATAATTATCAGACCCGCCCCCACATACCCTCTTTTGCAGCAGGCCAACATTCTGGCTAAGCATCAGGACCCCGCCAACCACAGCTTCTGCCTCTTATTTCCTGAGTGGTCCCCACACCTGGCATGATCAGAGTCCAGAGAAGTCAGGTGAGGAAGTGGAGTTGCCCTGGCCTCCTGACTGAGAGGCTTCTGTGCTGGACAATGGACATGCTTTGCAACATGCCATCTGCGTAAGACTGGGCTCTACCAAGGAAGTAGCAGGGAACCAGAGCTGTAGAAGGAGAGAAGCCATGCTGACTGACGGAGAAAGCCAAATAGTCTATGAATTCAGATGCATATTTTTTAATCTACCAAGCAAAAGGAAATGAAAAGCTACCCTCTCCCCATGCACACACTAAAGGACCGTTTTTCTAAGACAGAGAGGAAGGAAACTGGAATCACTTTTGAAGGCAAAAGGCTGTTTATTTTTGCCCAATCGTAGATTTTTTTTTTCTGCCTCTGGCAACTGTATCAGAAACAGAGACTTCAGCAAAGAAATCCATTCACTTGTCATCACATAAAACCTCTATTCCACAGAGGAAATGGCAGAATTTTACCCTTAACAGGATCTGTCACCAGAGGGGAGAGGGGAGCAGAGTGAAGAGGCCAAGACAGCGTCCATGCAGGGACATTTAGTGACCTTGTTGTGGAGGGAAGGCTATTTCTTTAGAGAGGTTTATGTCACCCTAAGACAGAGATAGAGAGGAAAGAGTTAGGACAAGGTGACCCCAAGTTCTCAGCCCAGGCCAAAATAGAGAGATTCCGCCCACATCACCGCAGAGGGCCATGGGAATGTCTTTGAAGAGGCCAGAACACAGATCCTCCGTTCCCTCGGAGAATGCCTGGTGCCTGTTTCATAAGGACGGGAGCAATTGCTGGTGACTGGGCTTAGCACAGGCTATAGGCAGTGGGCTAAGTCAAGGTTCATTTCCTTTATTTCCTGCCAGGGACTTTTCCCACTGCCATCACCTGCCTATCCATCTGGATTTAGCCCCATCTGCAAAGACTATTAGGAGGGAGCCCCAAATTGCCCTCCTGCACCACTCACTCTTACCAGGTTGGAGTTTCGTCGTCACCCTCCACGTGGGATGTTTTCCTGCCTCTCTGTTCAGTTCTTCTTTGTGCCACTCAACTTCCAATTTGATATTGAAATCAAAGAACAGCAACCACGGTGCCCTGAGCATCCCCTGTATCAAATACTCCTGAATTCCGAAGGCTGAGGTCAGCATCCAGAAGACCCACAACCAGAGGAGATGCTGTTGCTAGGATGCGGGAATGTTTATTAGGCTCTCAGCCTTAATTAGGTGTAAGTAACATCTTGTCAATGTTCTGCTCTGTGTGTGCTAATGCTGTTGGGGTAATTTGACCTAGACTGACAGCTTAAATCAGAAATGAGAGTCAACGTGTCTATGATGAGGCCAGACGGGATGGCTATATTAACAGAAGTCTGGGAAATTCTAGGCCTTATTGTATTGACTCTACTTCTCAAGTGTTTCTGTCAAAAGGAGCCTCATTGGGGGATCACACCAGCCACAGGGTCTCCCACGGCCACCCGGACACAGGAGATTTTCTGCAATGGATTCTTTGAAGAAGTGATTGAAGGAAGATAAGACCAGGGAAGCTGCCGATTTGGGGTAGAATCTCTATGAATAGATCTATTGAAAGTTAAGAGGTGCAGTAACGACATTTTGGGTGAGCTAAAAGCTGCCTAAAAATTAGTTTGCAGCTGTTTCTTTTTCCATCTCTGCCCCGGGCTATTTTCAAAATGAAAAGAATGAGATCAGGTCCTGAGCAGGGAGGTAGAGTTGAAAAGGCAATAATAAAAATTTAAAGACCTGAAAGAGGAAGGCGATAATCTTTGGAAGGTGTTAGAAGCACATTTGACTTAGGAGAGAAAATTTCTCAAAGGGGAGAGAAAACATATGGGGCCACAAGAAAGGTCATTGGTTCTAAGGACTAGCACCTTGCAGGCTGGCCCACCCAGGAACCCTTTTGTCAAGACTCCAAGGAGTGCTGTCCGGAAGACATTTGCAGCCAGGACCGCAGGTACAGATACACCATGAGCCCCCACTGGCCTGCCATTTTAAGAACAAGGGGCGAAAAAAGGGATGGTGCCATACCTGGCCATGCCAGAAGGCTCTGTATTTCTGGAAACTCAAGTATCTGGTGATCATTAAGTAACCGAGGCCTGGCCCAGGCACACAGTCTCTCTACAGGGGGTAGGGCTTATATCCAAAGGAGTGGAAAGCATAGACAGGGTTTCACAAAAGAATCCCCTTTCTTGCCCTTTGCAGACTAAGAAGTTTGTGTTCACACTGCTGAGCAAGACTCAGGACCACGGGGTAGGGAATGGCCAACTCATGAGGAGGCAGACTCGCCGTGGATTCCAACAGATGGCCGTCAGTGGCTTGGCAAGGGGACTTTCTCCAGAGATGTTTTACATGATGGTTCCTACAGATTCCTACAATTCTCAGGTAGAGTTGATGTAGCCTGCAGATATTGACACTGCTTCAGAGGTTGGGACAGATCCTGCCCGGGTTTTAAAGCAATGAATAAACTTGGAAACAAGAGGATTTGCATAGTGTCTGATAAATAAATATTCATGTTTTTAGCATTGGTTTTGTTGTTGTAGAATAATAATAATAATAATAATAATAATAATAATAATAATAATAATAATAATAAATTTCCCTTCACAGAAAAAACTAAAAAGTATATACCTTCCATTTACCTGAAAAACACTCATCATTTATTTTTAATTTTTTTCCCTTTTTTTGTTGGTATGGATACAAATTGTTTTCCTGTCTGTCTTGTACTAGATGTGACTGGAAACTTCTTTTCAATCAACTTGGAGGCAAGGCATCATCAACTTTGCAGACTAACTCACTCTTTTGAAGACACAGCAGGATGTGGCAGGCTACCTTTGGTGGTCTTCCCTCCATCTCTTCCTTTGAAGGTCCTGATGAGAGCAGCCAGGGACTCAGGGCAGTACAAGGGGACCTTAGCCCTGTTTACCCACGCCCAACTTTTCCTTTAAAGAAAACACAAGGTCCCACCACCAAGAGGGTCTGTGTTTTTCTCTTTCTCTACTGTGGATTCTATAGATGGAGATTAGTGTTATTAAGATACATCTTAGTCCTCTGACATATCCTCCCTCCACCTCTTGGGCAAAGCATCATGATGTCACTGGGAAAAAGAAAAACATTTTTGCTGTTCAAAAAATTTCCATTGAACCAGGCCTGGTAGCAAAGATGTATAATCGCAGCTCCTTGGGAGGCTGAGGATGGTAAGTTTAAGACCAGCCTAGTCTACAGTGTGAGTTCAAAGCCAGTCTGGGCAACTTAGTAACACAGTGTCTTGATATAAAATGGGGAGAGATGTCTGGGGAGACAGCTAAATTGATAAAGTATTTGCCATGAAAGCATAAGGACCCAAGCTAGAGTCCTTAGCACCCACAGAAAAAGCTGGGTATGGTGGTCCATAATTGTAATACCAGCCCTGGAGAAATGAATGCAAGCAGATGCCTGGGCCTCAGTGGGTAACTAGCCTGCCCTGATAGGCATCCCCAGTTCCCATGTGCCCCTAAAACCATGGTGGGCAATTCCTGAAGAATGACACTGGATGGTGACATGACTTTCATATATATGTTTATGTATGTGCATCTGTATACCCTCTGCAAACACACACACACACACACACACACACACACACACACACACACACACACACACATCCCAAGCCTCCTGCCCTCAGCCACAGCACTGCACCACCCTGCCTGCCAACGAGAAGACATAGCCCCTGCCCTGCAGGAAGTCACAGTCTGTTAGTTGAACATCATGTGTCATACAATTAAGTAATCGGGCCTCTAAACATAAATGAATCATCCTGTGAAACACCAAGGCATAAAAAGCCCATCTGACATTTGATCAAGTCCCATCTTAATCAAATCATGTCTGCGTCGGCCGATCTGTGCAATGCACAGCTCCTGTAGCATCCACAGTCTCCATCCTTCTCAGGCTCTCTACTGCTGTTCCTATATCAGGAACTGTCCTGAACTGAATTGCTGCTGGCTCTAGATGATCTGTATCACTTTCCTAATAAAGTAAGGTGATGTCACTGTAAACAAACCTGTATTTTTGTTGTTTAAGAAGCATCCATTAAGCCAGGCCTGGTAGCACAGGTCTGTAAACTTCAGGTAACTGGGTAGCTAAGGCAGAAATGCACTGTCTTGAAGGATAGGGCCAGAAGGTCAAAGTCAAGGCACTGTTGGGCCCATACCCTCTAAAGGATAAGGACTCTTCCTTGGTATTCCTTGGTTTGTGGAAACAAGATCCCCAAGACTCAGGATGTTTCTTGAGTCTCTTCCTTCTGTACTCTAACTATGTTTATATATCTCTGCTCAAGTGTCCTGGTTTTGTAAGAATGTTTATGGATTTGAGCATCCCCTAAAAATTGCATTCTAACCTTATTACCTATGTGAAGACTCTATTTCCACATAAACTTAGATTCTGAGGGACAGAGGGTAGGATTTCTAATCCATCTTTTTTTTTTTTTTTTTTTTTTTGAGACCATAACTGAACACAGAATGACACTCTAGTCAGAAACAATCTAGGAAAGTCCAGAGGCTACACAGTGATGTGATCCAAGAACTCTGTTCAGAGTGAGTGCCTCGCTGCAGACAGTACTTTGATGTACGGCGGATTTTCATTTCATCTTACTGTACTTAAAGTCACCTAAGAGATGGGTGAGGCACGCCTCTGGGTGTGTCTGTGAGGGTATTTCCAGAGAGGATTAACTGAGCCCCAAAGGGGGAAGACCTACTCCAAAAGTAGGTGACATCATGCCGTGGGCTGAGATTCTAAACAGAACAAAGGAAGGCTGCAAGTTGAGGGAGAATGTTCCAGTGCCCAGCCCACCCAACGTGAACTGCCCTGTCTGCCACGCCTTCCCCATGGTGACGGGCTGCACCTTTCCAAGTGTGACCTCAGATGAATCCTTCTTAAGTTGCTCTACCAGGTACTCGCCACAGCGATGTGAAGAGTGTATTCATTGACCTCTCACACTGTACACCTTGCGCTCCAGCCTGAGGGTGGCAGGAAACGGAGAGAGAACAGGGAGTCACAGAAGTCGGGAGATGAGCTGTCTCCCACAGCCCCACAAGACAGAGCTCTCAGTGAAATGTTTCCGAAGCCTGGAGTCAGGAGGTAAATACAGCTCTCCATGGGACCCAGATGGCCGATAGCACTGCCTCTGGGACCAGCTTACTAACTGGTTTGTCAGGCATGCTTTAGTGGCTGTTTTCAATGCGAGTTGAGAGGATTCTCTTCTGAGACTTGACTTTTTCCATGTGGTCGAAACAACATCTACAGTTCACATACCGTGGAAAACCAATCCAAGACCCTCTTATCTACTTTCTTAATCACTATAGCATCTCCTCACATACATGTAAATAGGTATTATATGTGGATGTACTGTACATTATTAACAATACAGACATAAATGCATATGTATACATGTATATATGCATATGCACACTGTGGATTTTTTTTCTCATACCAGATAGAATTTGCAGGGACATATACGACTATTTGCATTAGTAAAATTACAAATCTGTTGCTATGTTCCTTTGGTATCTGAATAGTTATGATGATGATAGTAATAATAATAGTCTTTAACATTATTCATCAAACCCACTACCAGATATATACTGTAAGAAGACAAAGTTAGCATGTTGAAGAGATATATGCATGCCCATGTTTATTGTAGCAGTCTGTATTCACAGTAATCGAGACAAGGAGTCATTCTAGATAATTATCTAAAGATTGAATGAATAAATTGTGATACAGTGGAATATGATTGAGTCATAAAAAGTTATGTCAGGTGTGGCAACAAGATGACTCTAGAGAACATTATGTTAAGTGAAATAAGCCAGACCCAGAAAGATCAAAACCACATGTTCTCTCTCTGGAAGCCACCATGGTTGATCGCACAGAAGTAGCATAGAATGGTGGTTACCAGAGTCTGGGAAGGGGTGGGGAGGAGGCTGGTTAATGGGTATAAAAATACCACAGTTGTACAGAAGGAGTAAGTTCTAGTGTGTAGTACAGTAGGGTGACTATACTTAGTAATAAAATAAAGTGTATTTCAAAACAGCTAGGAGAAAGGATTTTAAATGCTCCTATCATACTAAAATAATAAATGTTGGAAATGATAGAAAATCTGATGATTCTGATTTGAGCATTATATACGATGCACATGTTTCAAAATAATTCACCATGTGCCACATATATGTGCCATTATACATCAATAAAATAAAAAAAAATATAAAAACAGGTATGATTGGGCTGGGATATGCCTCTGTTGAGAGACTGCTTGCTAAATATACAGGAGTCCCTAGGTTTCATCCTCAGGACTGCACAGACAGAGTATAGTAATACATTCCTGTAATTCCAAGACTTGGGAAATGGAGGCAGGAGGATCAGGAAGTTAAGGCCATCTTGCCCTGTGTGAGACTATCTGAAAAGCTGAAACAAACAAACAAACAAACAAACAAACAAACAAACAAACAAAAATAGTCCACAGAAACAAATTCTCACACCAGACACTTTGCTATGAGCTTTCGATCCATTTAATTTGGTCTTTCCTTCTGTCTGGGAGGTAGGGACTATTATTCAGCTTTTAAGGATGGGTAAAGCCAAGGCTTAGGTTGCTCAGCCTGGCACACTGGGATAGACAGGTCTGAGTCTTGAACCTAGGTGACCTGTGCAGAACAAACCCCAAACCTCCCTCCCCACCTCCTGTGTCTCAACCACCAGGGTGTCCTGGATTCCTAGAGGTGATGTGGGTGTTGCAGATCACTTGCCTCAGAAGCCTCGATTCCTGCATAAGAATGCTGAGTGTCCCCCCTGTGAGCACCATCCTCTGGCTGTCCCTTGAGGTTTGCATTCTTGTTCTAGACCTAAGTGTTCACTTACTGTCAATACATTAGAGGGGAGGGGAGTACTAATGCAAACTCCAGCTACAGTGGGAACTCCAGGATAGGAGTTTAAGAACTACGTGGTCAGTTTCCAGCCATAGTTAACGTCTTAGACTTAAACTTCAAATTTTATGTGTCTGCAGCACTAGCATGAAGAATCCAGATGAAGGCATCCGATCCCGTGGATGTGGGTGAATTTTTAATCCTAATGTTGGCAATTTGGGTTGCCACATTAACTCAGCAGAGATCAATAAAGTCTAGTTCTCAGCAAAAAAACAAAACAAAACAAACAAACAAGCAAACAAACAAACAAAAACAATTCTGAGTGTCCAAGGGGGCCATGCTGAGGGCTGGCGGCTCAGATGCTGGGGAGCGTGGACGTGTGTTGTCAGCATCTGCTTCCACAGTTCCTGCTCTCGACCTCAGCCCCAACTCTCCTGAGCTGTACCCCGTAGACACCCCAGGCCTCTCTGTGGATGACCCCCTTTCCTCTGTCCCCCACATCCATGTAGGGTTCTCTTGCTGTTGGGTGCTCTGGCTGTTTCAATTAGAACCAGCAAGAGCCATGCTAGCCCCTGGGCGAGGGCCA